CTCCATGTTGCTCACCTTATTATGCCACTTTACACGGGAAATAGAACGCAGGCACCTATGATCAAAGACAGCTAGTCTTTTCATGTCTTCCACTCTCAGTGGCCAGGTCTCACAACCATAAAGGAGGACGGAGCGGACTGATGAGCAGTACACCCGCCCTTTGGTCGATAGTCGAACATCTCGTCTACGCCAGAGTCGGCGTAAACTAACAAATGCGAAACGAGCCCCTTGTATTCGTGCTGAGATTTCGTCAGAGATCAGCCCGTTGGGGCTGATGGTACTTCCCAAATAAGTGAAGCGGTCAACGTGCTCTACCACTTCACTTCCTATTTTTAAACTAGGCGTCGATGTAGTCCAGTCCTGTAACATCATCTTGCATTTGGCGGGAGCGAATCGCATGCCAAACATTCGTAGATTGCGGCTCAAGGTGTTTAGAAGACTCTGCATTTCGTCAGCGTCTTCGCCTAGAAGGACTATATCGTCTGCATATTCCAAGTCAACGAGATTATTCCCGGTAGCAAGTCAATCCCTGAGTCGCTGAAGTCACCTAGGGTTAAGTCCATTAACACATCTATGATGAAGTTGAATAGAAAAGGAGATAATGGGCATCCTTGACGGACACCACTGGTCGTCATCAGTTCAGATGACAGCTCGCCGTAAGCCCTCACCTGGCTGTATGAGTACGAATAGAGTGCCTTAATCAGTGCAATATATTTTCTTGGAATTCCCTTTACAGCCAAGCATCTCCAGAGAACTTCCCGATCGACAGAGTCGAATGCTGCCTTTAGGTCAAGAAATATAATGACTGTTGGACGCCGGTAGGAATGCCTATGTTCTAGAATCTGTCGGAGGGTGAAGATATGATCAATACACCCTCTTCCTGGTCTAAAGCCTGCCTGGCTCTCTCGTGTTTGTGCTTCCCGAGCACCACTCAGTCTACGCATGATTATTGAGCCTAAGACTTTAGATACTATATTAGTCAAGCTAATCCCTCTGTGATTATCACAGGAAGACTTGTCTCCCTTCTTGTATATGGGGATAATCAGTGACTTACACCAACCCGATGGGACTTCTTCTGATTCCCAAACGCTGCCTAGTACCTCAGTTAATCCGGACAGTAAGCTGTCTCCACCGTACTTAAATACCTCTGGCGTCATTCCATCAGGTCCCGCTGCTTTGCCTAGTTTCAGATTGGTGACAGCTTTAGTAACCTCAGTTAGTGACGGAGGACCTGTATCTATATCCCATTCAGGGAGGTGTTGGATGCTCGGAAGGTTGAGCGTGGCTGTGGGCAAATTAAACTGCTCCTCATAATGCTCTTTCCAACGATCCAGTCGTCTATCCTGTGAGCTAATTATAGTGCCATTTTTTTCCGAGATTGTCTCACTAATGATTTGTCTTCTCCCACCCGTTTCCCTGATGAGTCCAAAGAGTTGCCTGGTGTTGCCTATCCTCAAAGCTTTCTCCATCTCTTTGGCTTTTGTCGCCCACCACTGTTCACGGTCCTTGCGGAGACTTTTCGTAAGTTTCCTCTTGTGCAGCTTTCGCTCCTCATTGAATTCGGAGCTCGCCGGAATAAGTCTTCTAGCATCTATCAGTTCGGATGAGGCGGTGGAGATCCAGTGGTTTTTACTCACCTTTGGGTTTACCTTATTCACAGCTTTTACAGCTGTATCTATGGCTGCCTGGATATTTTTCCAAGCTTCTTCAGGGTGAGCACAGCTGTCGAACACAGATATGTGTTTAGCTAGTTCTTCCTGAAATACGGATTTAGTTTCCTGATCGAGCTGGGGACGTGATGGTTTTACCGCCAGCTGTTTCCTACGTCCGTATCACTACTTCACCAGAAAGTTTGAGTATAAACCTTTCTCACATTTGTCTCATTTATCTTCAGAATTGTGAAGCTAATAGTAACCTAATCTGCCCAAATAAACTCCAGATTTTGAACTAAGTGTTCTACACCGTCTGTGTGCTAGTATTACAAAATCATACTGTGTATCATATTGTGTCCATAATAGTGAAAAGTTCTTTGTTAGGTAAGCGTACTCTTTTCCCATTTTTATGGCAAAAAACAGCCTGACACTAACATTTCATTCTTTTATTTCACCATTCTACTTATTTCCTCACAGAGTCCCCAAAATAGCTCTTTTACGAAGTTATGCGGATATAAAAAGGAAGTGGATATCTACACATAGATTTTGTCAAACGATGTTTTGTGCTATGTTGAAAAATATGTTGCTATATCAACTTCGAATTCTCCAGAAATTTATATTTACTCATTGACTGATTTTTAAAGAATATTTTTGGCAAATGAACTGAGTTGATAATAATAATGAATGAAAATTAATCTGATGCTCACTTGTGACTGGTTGCAGAACAAAGTTGCCTGGATTTCTAGTGAGAAATCGTGACCAGTTTGGTTCATCAAGTCTGATGTGAGGGCAAGCACTTGCCGATGACATTGATTGTCGGTTGCGTTAAAATCACAAATAAACAAACGCCCGAATGGCTGAATGGTCAACAAGCGTGGCCTGGTAATCTGAATACGGCAAAGTTAAACTTTAAGCTTCAGTAATTACCCACGGACTAATGGCCTTTAACGCACGAACCACATGATAAAGGCAATTTTATCTATAAAATACACATATTCATGAAAATAATGAGTTAAAAGGCATGAAATTGTAACATAGAATACCTTTAATTGACGTGTAACATAAATAACCCTCAGTTTTGGACTGGAGTATGAATAGAGTAATTTAAACACATTCTATACGTGTAATTGTCTAGGTCTTCTAACTCTAATAATAATTGTAATCTTCCCTTAACCTAACCCTAGCATGAAAATATCCTTAAACTAACCCTAATGTAACCCTCATTAGGTTAACCTAACCCTAACCTGTCCGTAGCCTAAACCTTAACTTGATCTCTCCCAAATCTAAGCTGAAACTTATCAGATGTCCCATTTAATAACTTAACACTTCATCAAGCATATTTACCAGGTTTCAATAATTTGCTCACTGAACATTCCAAGGTTATTGGTGTGGTTGCACTCCACTGGTCCCTACTGGTGCTTTAAGTCTAAGTTGAACCTGGATGTCATGGGTAGGATCCCCGGTGGATATGTACCACTGAAGAGGCCCAAAGTAGGACGAAACGGCTGAGCAGAACTCCTTAGTTTTCAGTGGTTCTCCAACGATATCAGTCTGTGAAAACAGGCGTATAGATTTCAGTCTTAGTGTGTTAATATTTTGTCCACTGTCTATAGGTATCTTTTCCGTTACTTGGTAAAATTACAAATGTCACTAGGTTTGATTAACTTGTCAGGAAATATTAACTTAGCTTAGAACTTTGACTAATGACGATTTTAATTTGAACTGGCCTCTCGAAAAGTATTAGGCAATGATATTTATGTGTACAGTCTCTACCACATAGTGCTACAATCGGTCCCTGTAGATTATGGATAGTTTAGACTACCATGACTTGATTTCTTGGCGAAGTGAAACTATCATAGCCAAAATCACAGTAACCTTGAACAACCAATCAGAACTCAGATGCGAAAAAGTCGCATAATTGTTGAAAAATGCGTTTAAAAAACAGGATATTACACTAGATAATTGTCAATTGTGTTATAAGAATGTTTCCCGGTCATCACACGAATAATCTATAGAGAAATTATACTATACTCTGCAGATGTATTCATCCAGGTCACTGTAGATCATATTACTTTAATCATGGTTCTGTAATCTTAACATTAACCCTAAACCGTAACGTAAATCTTTTCATTTTATTCCTTTACGTTCCCGGTGGAACATAGGGCTTCAAGCTATAGACGTGAAGAGTCAGAAGCAGTGGTGTTCATTTTTATGGGATGGGGTAGCTAGCCTCATGCTCAAGCTTCCCTCTTTAACAGTCTTATTACCGGCCTAGCCAGGTAAAGGAGTGCATCCAGTGGCCGAGGATCGAACCCCGAACCACACGCGTGATAAGTGAACATTCTACAGCTGTGCCACCGACACACAACCTAAAATCTTAAAAACCATAGCCTTACCTAACAGCATAGATATACAGAAAAAGTACCTAAGGAATGAGTAGGGTACTGTACCCCTGCCCTCATCAAATCCTAAAAAGGTAGCCATGATTTGATTTGGAATGACATTTCCCTAAATCTGATTGGTTCTTTTGAGTTAACGTTTGACAAACCTTGACTTTGGCTATGATACTTTAACTTTGCTGATTTCTTACACTAAGTTAAACAGAAATAAGATATTTTTTCTGCATTCAGTTTTACCACAGGTTCACACTAGCTTTACATCTTGCTATTTTTTTTATTTCTCATCTTGTGTGGTTTAAATCCACAGAGGAACTACTGTCACAGACTCAATATATATTAGTGTGTAAATTACTGTGAAACTTTTCGGCTAAATGTTATTACTACTCATTTAAGATATAAAACTAATCATTATTGCTCTAGTGGATATTGATGTGTCCAAATTAATTTTGTTCTCTTTTTTTTGTAATAATTCTCAACGTATCACACGCCCCTCTTCCCGTCGCCCCCACCCCGACACACACATGAATTCTGATGACAGCTAATTCCCTTTTTTCCCCTTGAATAAATTCTCAGAGCGCTGCTTATCTCTAAAATACACTACATCAGATAAATTATGAATAATAATAACAATAATAATAACAGAATTAATTACACCTATGTGAATAATAATGAAAATTATCTAATATTTTTTATTAGTTCCTTGTTCTTCATCTTCTCCTACTTCTTCTTCGTTTATTTTGCTTGCTTATCTAAATAAATCCTCATAAAAATTTCCCTTTGTCATTAAAATATATTCCCCTTTCTTCCTATATTCGTCTTAGGCCTTAATTCTTATTGGTTGTTGTTGTTGTTTTTCTTTTGTCGACTCATTGTTGTCTGATAATCGCATAGTGTTATATAGCCTTTATAACTCTCCTTAGACTTTCATTTATTATTTATTATCATTGTTATTGGATAATAGAATAAATAAATAAATAATTCTTTCATCATAGTCCATTTTCGTTTGCTCATGATTCTTCTTCTTCTTATTATTATTCATTTACAAAATTACCCATGAGTTCCCCGTCTGGTAGTCAAGATTTCTCATCGTTGGATAGTCGTGAACGTCAACGTCAGCGTAGTGTTAATCAAGCATTTGCAGCACTTCGATGTGTATTGCCTACCCATCCACCGGATAAAAAATTGAGTAAACATGAAATTCTACGTCTTAGCATAAAGTATATTCGAATTTTAGAAGCTATTTTAAAATATCAAGAAGAAGTTGAAGGACATTCATCTATTTCATCAAATGGATCACATAGTGTCACATTCTCTGCTTCTTCATCCTCTTCGTCCTTCTCCTCCTGCTCATTATCGTCATCTTTTACTAAAAATAAACCTTCAAATACTCCCCACAAGAGAACATCTTAATTAGTGAACTGATTTTAGAAAGTGACTTGTTACATAAATGTCCATTTTCCCGTAATTTATTCCTGTTCACAAACTTATCGTCTGTCTTCATATTTGATGATTTCACTTACATCAGCGTTGATTGCGTTTTCATAACAATCTATCATCACTTACAAAACAAACGGATCCTTTATTCTCGTAATAATTCATATCTTCTGTTGTTCTTATATTTACAGTTTGCTGTATGACCTGTTTGGGATTATAATTAATAATATTACTATTATTATTATCATTGTCGTTGTATCTATGCCTAATAATAAGATCGAAAGAAAACGCATATTGGATAAGTGAGTCCCTTCTTTTTGTTGACTAGAGTAATATTATGCTTATCATCATTGAATTGTTTATGTACGTACATACTGCAAGTGAAATTCATTCTCTAGCTATTGGTTTTAGGCATTTCTGAGAACTCCGACCAGGCAAACAGCTGTTACACTTCCTTATGTGGGTCACTAACTAACCGTCAAAGATTTCATGGACTGGTTTGACTACCACTAGCTCTTTTTCTAATCTGACCCTATGTTAGTTAATACTGATTATCGAGGAAGGCGATGGCTTGGTATACACAAAACGTGTTCTAATCATCTCATTCGATGTTACTTCACAGCTTCATTGTGATTGACTAACCCTCCTTAACTAACATTGTATGTCTAACCTCAATAGTGGCTAGTAATGTCGTCCAAGATGCACATTTCGTCGTATTCGGAACCCATAAGCTGGAACACTCAGTGAGCAATGTTATTTCCATTAAGTCTCGAAGTCAGCAGCCATCGTTATTTAATTCAGTTTTAGATTTTCCCGTCGATTGATTGGACCGAAGTGCTCGGTCTCAGGTTGTTGACATGTCAGCTTCTTGTGCAGATACTCGACGATGTTTGGGTATTTAATTATAAGTTAATCGGTGGATGGTGACTAGCACTGGAATCCAGGATAAGGTGCATTTCGTCCTATTTGGGGTGTAACCGCATCCAGAGACTAGTCCCAAATAAGACGAAATGCGCATCCCCGTAGATTCCACTGCTAGTCACCATTCATCAATTAGTTGGATATTTCGGTTCAGTTAATCAAAAAGAAAAACAAAATTCAATTGAACAAATTATTTTTTACCACAGTTTAATTTTGTAATAATAATAAAGGTTAAGAGACAGTTGACCAAAAACCTTGAACTAAAGTTTTTGTTGGCATTTATCACCAAGATTTACCTGGAATTTAGAGTAAATCCATAATATTTGTATATCCCCAGTCATTTAACATCACTTGGTAATAAAGCGATAAAACTTTAAAATAACTTGTTCATCATAGATATACTAATGGAATTGATCCTAACTGACTTTAGCGACTTAGGCGTTGATTTGTTACCAGGGGACAGTCTTGACGTAGATGATATTTATTATTTATTTATTTAAACGCATAAAAACTTGGTACAATATGGCACCAAGAAGGATGCGCCACACAATAATAATAAAACAACATAGATCAAAAGAAAAAAGAAAGAAAAAAAAAATATATATATAAGTAGAGAACGGATAAAAAACTTCATCTGGAAGGAAAACAGTCATGCTTAACAAGTTCAAACAGTATTAGTTAACTATCATCGGGAAGGGAAGAAAGAAGGAAATCGCAACACGTATAATAGCACGCGATAAGTTTGATTGATTTCTTGTTGCTTTATCCAATTCATTGTGTGAGGGCTGAGATACTGCCCGTGTGCCCAGACCGAAGCAGGTGATTTTATTAAGGGACCACCCCCGAGCCTTTGACTTGGAGTCTAATCCGCAAGGCAGCGGAGCAGCGTCAGGAGCTGCATTCCCATGGTTCCCGGTGACCCATATGGGTTCATACGCCATTCGATCCGATTGGATACTGGAGCCCATGTACCCCATGGTAACTGCTTTTAGTTTAACCGCTATCCAAACAACCTTCCTGACGTTGTAGGACCTGCAGGGACAGAGTCCAAGTCAATTTAGCATGTTGGGTCATTGCGGTATTCAAGCCCGACCACCACGACAAGGTAGCGGTTATCGGCCGGGAGATGATATAGTCCTTCTAGGTGGAGACACTGATAAAATGTAGATTGAATTGCTTCACTTTTGTCCATATATTCTATGTTGAAATCAGTCAGTCAGTCAGTTTATTTCAAAACTGCTGGCATTTTAAAATAGAAGTAGTTTTCAAATTTTAAAAGGTTTCTTAAAGCTGGGAGGTTGATCTTATCAATGAACATCCGTAAGGACAGCCATCTTGCATAATTATGGCAGACTAGATGCATAAAATAGTCATACGACTTGGTTCAATGTTCAAATTATGAGCTTTTTCAATGGGACTTGACACCTACTCCGGTTACTATCTAGTACTAATCACAAAAACGCCTAATCATCTTACCCAAATAGGTTATTCGGTAGATTATTTCTTCTCACTAGTCGTGTATGGTTCACTTTGACATTTCACTGTTATTTGGCTATTTAAGCCATAATCATTTGCCTATATTCAACAAATCTACCTGGTTTTTCAAGAATTTGTTTGTAGGGATTTGATTTGTTTCAAGTTTAATCACGGATTGATATCAGTTAGGGAACTATTAAAAGCCAGTAAAGAGTACCGGACACCTGTTTCGTCCTAGTTTCGGACTCTTCGGCAGTATGCATCCACCATCAGCATTCGAACTCAGGGTCCTCTGGTGGTAATATAGCCAGGGGTTAGAATTCATGGGTCACTGAGTTGGCTCCTAGTAAATGAGTGATCTACGAGCATGACTTGTAACCGGAAGGTCCTGGTTTTCTAACCCTAGGGATGAGTGCTTACTGCCGACGAATCCTAAACCAGGAGGAAAGTGTTGTCCAGTACACCCTGGTTTTCAATGGTTCTCTAACTCTGATATCAGTCAAACCTGAAAAAAACATCTGAAATGTTATAATTGTTTTTCCTACCTTTTAGCAGTATGGATGATATACCAACCGATCCGTGTGTAAAATTGCGAAATCGTTTGGGAAACAGCAAGTCTTTATCAGCTTCAACCATGCATAGTGGAATGCATCCATTGAAGTCAGGAAATGTACCTTGTCCATCTAAAAAATCAAGTGATTCAGAATATAATGATGCACATATGAAAGATATGACAGATGAATTTTCTTCACCACAAGATCAAAATGATTCTGAATTTCTTGATACTGGATTCACTCTTATCGGATATACATTTTTTCTTCAAATTGCCTTACATATAATGACATTTATATTGAATAGCCTTTCATATCGTTATTTAGATACAGCGAGTTTAGGCTTGGTCAATGTACGCTTGGGTCTGTTTTATTCAACGCTAGTATTTACTGCTAGAGAAGCGTTTCGTCGAGCATGTCTTAGTCGTGGTGGTGAATTAATTAATACTAATAAACGCTTGTTAAACAATAAATTATTCTCTTCAAATGTCAACACCACTTCAACTTCTCATCCTATCAGTGAAGATTCTGTTGATATTTCTCAGTTAGCTGAAAATTACACAAATATTGGAATTGAAAAAACTTGTCAATGTCTACTTCAATATAAACAACAGTTACACGGGATTTTAAATCTTGCTTGGCTAGTGTAAGTCTTCCTTTTTACGAATTTTATCTATATTTTTTTCAGCTTGCCTACTGGTTTAATCATGGCCACATTACTCTGCATAGTTTGGATTTTCATCTTACCTTCTCCAAGCAGTCTGATTGGTGGTGCTGTTGGTGGTGAATCATCACATTCAGAGTTCAGTGTCACCGCTGCAACCATCGAATATCGTTATCTCATTTGTATTATTGTTTATACGCTATCTGGTTTCTTAGAATTGACTACTGAACCATTTTGGCTTCTTTGTCAATTATCACATGAAGTTCGTGTAAGAATTTTTATAGAAGCATTTGCAAATACTGCTCGTGTTATTGGAATTGTCAGTGCAATATTCGCTGTACCATCTGAGTATGCTGTTTACTCGTTAAGCATTCCTCAAGTAAGTGAGATAAATTGCATAGAGTTTTGTATAATCTATTATTAATTTCAACTACAGTCTATATATTTGATCATAATGTTTATTCACACATCTATTTGTATGTATACCCGACTGACTGTCTGACTAACTGATTGACGTAGTTGTAATGTAGAACTTTGCACGGATGTGCAGCAGTTCCTGTCGCTACACTTCGTAAAGCACACATAAGTTTGGGGTGGCGGGGGGGTGGGGAGACACAAAGGAATTCTAATAAAAGGAAGTGTACACGAGAAAGGACAATTAAGACAACAGTTCGTACAGAATAAGATGGTACCATTATTTATCTCGGTGGCTTCTCATCAGCAGAAACAACTTTGACATACATACTTGAAAACGTCACATGATGTCATTGACAGAGAGTTGAAGTTTCAAAAAACAGTCAATGTACAATACATTCAATGGTAGTGAAGTTACGTAACAAAGAAAAGTTATCAGTATTTTTTGTAAATTTTTATTTTTGGTCTACAGCTTGATTCAACACTGTACTTTTGGCACAAGTGTGGAATTTTCAGCGGGGATATCGGTAGCCCAAATTTCGCAGGCCGACCATAGATATCAGGTGTGCGTCGGCGTGGGCTCGAACCCCGGACCACGTGTATGGTCAGCAAGAGTCCTAACCACTGTGCCACCGACGCACAGTCAGATGATGAATAACGAATAAATCAAGTATGAATATACTGAGTTCAACGCAAATCACTGAAACAAGGATGATATCAAAGGGAGAGATTAAAGCCAAGGATTACCTAATCAGGTGAAAGGGAGAGTCAAGGTATCGTTACCAGGGCAATGAAGGGCAGATAACTGCTTCTTTCTCCACATAAATAGGGTTTCAGGCGTCTGATAGGGATTGCTTCGCTAAACTTGAGGAAAATTGAGACTTTGTATCTACTGGTAATTTTAAAGGATTTTGCAATGTCCACTTCATGACCCCGTCTCAAGGAGATGCCTAGTAATGGCACCGTTGTAAACGTTTGCTCCTTTGACAGACGTAGGCTTTTCGATACGTGTTCAGAAAATCGAAGTTGTGCCCTTCTTTCTATTCCCCCATTGTAACTATTATCACAGATACTTACATAAATTTGTATACACAGTTACCAGCCATTGGTTCTCAGCATCCTGAGAAACCCAACCTGGCAGTCTATACCTGCCCTACGTGGCTCAAACCAATTGCCAAGAATTTCATGAATACATGCCAGGTTTTGGATTGACTACCTCAAACTCCTTTCCAACCTGATCTTATGTCAGATGACAGACACTGCTGGATGATGAAGACAGTGATTTGGCATACGCAACACGTGTCCTTGCCATCTCAATTGATGCGCCGCCTTTACAACGTCAATGATTTATAAAGTCGGATAGATAACTTCAATATCTTTATTCTATTTACTATTACGTTTGAGCGGGTAGAAAATTACTAGTTGTGGTGTAAATAATGTACTTATAAAATTATTAATACTAATTATGCAGAACAAACTACTTTTAGAAACTTAATAATTGGTTATTTTCCTCGTTTCAGACTAACTTTTACTCCTTTTAAAATTACTGAATATAATAATAATAATTTTGTTTTATTCCAAAACAGTACTTGTGATACAGAATGAAATTCTTAGCATTTCACTACAGTATTGCATCCAGTTTGTACATGAACAATAAATAGAATTTTACATAGATTGTGGGTAATCCCAGTTAGTTTTGCCAGCAACATATTAGCATATCGCTGGCAAAGCCAAAAGTGAACTGAATGTTTGAAGGTGTTAGAAAAGTAGATACTACTAGCATATTTACTGGCGTAAGCGGTAACAAAAAGGTCGAGATATACAGAGTGTGAAAGAACGAAGAAAAATTTTTTTAAACAGAGTTTGTAAGGAAAAGAGGATCAAAGCTGCACATAACAGAAAAAGAGAGAGAGAGAGAGAAAAGGAAAAGATAGAAAGAAAACGTTGTACCTATAAATGATATGAGTTGGAAAGACGAGATCCAGCTGTTGTTCTACTGACTAATTAATAAGTTATAGGTATCACGCCTAATGCTTTCTTTATCGCACAGAACACGAGCTAAGTAGGGTATGGTTGAGTTTTTGTACTTGCTAGTGAGAGCATATAGTTTTCTATATAGACTTCTGGTTTTTCCTGATGAGGTACAAGGGCAGAGTTGTGAATGAAGAGGGTGTTGTGAGTTAAATAGAATGGGTTGAGCCCATTTTTCACATGAGTCCAAGTGCCTGTCGACCAGAACATTAACAAGCTGGTTAAGTGGCACATTGCTTACCCTGTTGACAACCTTTAACACCCTACGTAATAAGATATAGTCCTTCTTCAGTAGCCGTGGGAAAACTAATGGGGAACAATAGAGAATAATAGGCAGAATGAGAGCGTTAACGAATTGTAAGAGTGAGGGTTGGGTTATTCCAGTATGTGCAAACTTATTTCTTCGTAGTTATTGAGAAGCATCTCTAATGAGTACTTTCTCACATCCGAAGTGTAACTGGCTATCTGAGATAGATCTAACGAGATTTCACTGTATATGTAACCTTTCACTACCAGTATTCATTCTTCGTGTTCCGAATGGAACAGATTACTTCAGTAATACATCTCTATTACACTTGGTTCTTTGTCGTTACTTTCACTCTACACGGGTTTTTTTCAATGTCAGTCTTGGATATTCAACCTGTAACCTCCCACTCGGATTCCTTTTGAAAGCCTAGTGCGTGATGTAACTCAACCGTCTCTTCAGAGTATGTCCAAAATCCATCTCCACTTTGTTGGATAATGAGTTGTCGGCTAGTTGCGCTTTCAAAGTTTCTTGTCGCTTATTCTTTTCGGACGGTCATCTGATCCTCGGTATTGGAGTGTAAGAGTTGCATAGGTTTATTTTAGCTTATCAGATACGTAAATACCTAGAAATTTTTCTAACTCATGTAAAATTCCCATTGTAACAAATAGAAAATCAAAACAAGTGATTCAGCGAAGAGACTCTTCAACAAATTTATCATCAAGCTGTACAACCGTATATATATACATATATATATATATATATATATATATATATATATATATATATATATATATAGTTTTTAAGAAATTATATTCGGTGAGGGAATTGAATCATAGGTGTGAAGACATAAAATATTAATAATAGTATGAAATGCAATTAAAAATTAAAGTGTTTGTGATTATGATCATAGTTAGATGTCAAGTGGAAAAACAATTAATGTCATATATAGAATAATTCATAGGATGGATAGAACTTGGAAAGCATGTGCAATTATAGGTATATCGGTTGTTCGACTCGAGTTTTGTCCAAGAGAGTGCAAGAACACTATCCTGTATGATTACGAAGAGGTGGAAGCAGAGCAATAAGAAGCGCGATCATTGAACATCTTGTCGATAATGATCACCCTATCTTTATAGCCTCCGCCTTTATAGTCAATCTACAAGGCAAACAGTAATTTACCGAAATCACTACGTACCCGACTCATCTGTATTGCTGAAGCTTTGCTATCGAAACAGAAAACCAGAGCTCTGTGTACAGAAAATGTTCGTTCAGCCCCTGCAACTTTCATGGTCTTAATCCCTTTATGCTAAAGTATGGTAATCCCTAAACATATTTTGGCTCTGCCAATTTTTTTCGTTTCGTCTATTCAACTGGTATACTCTACCTTCATTACGTCAATTGTTACTATAACTCCTCTCACTTTGAACTGCCCCCGGTATTATTTCACTTGTTCCACTTGTCATTTTAAATCAATTCTTTTTACAATGTTGAATTCTATGCTATCGAATTTCACTCAATATTACGTAACGTTTTTATTTTATTCGTTTTGTCTACTAATCCTATAATTGTATACGCTTTCCAAGTTCTATCCATCCTATGAATTATTCTATATATGACGTTAATTTGCTTTGCCACTTGACATTTACTTATGATTATCATCACAAACATTTTAATTGCATTTCATACCATTATTATTATTCTATGCATTCACACCAATGATTCAATCTCCTCACCGGATATAACTTCTTAAAAACCATATATATACCCCTGCCGACGCACACCTGATATCTATGGTCGGCCTGCAAAATTTGGGCTACTGATATCCATGCTGAAGATTCCATACTCGTACCAAAAATACAGTGTGGAATCAAGCTGTAATCAAAAATAAAAATAAAAAAATTGTACAGCTTGATGATAAATTCGTTGTTGAAAAGAGTCTCTTCGTTGAATCACTCAAAAATTTCTCTGTAAATCTATTCTAATAATTGTATTTTTCGAATTCTTCAGCTTTTGCATGGCTCAACATTATTAGCCAGCTACCTGATGTACTTTCACTATGGAATATCACGATCCGACACGACTAATGAATGGCAACTGAAAGGGATTCCGGGAATTACTTCTCTGAATGATATATTACCACATTATGTTCAGGTTAGTTTTGTTGTTCTTGTTAAGAATGCAGATTGTGATTGAGTTAACAACGAAAGTTAAGGGTATATTTTTTAGTTTTTTTCTGTAATCCACAGTAACTGTTAACGGAGCAATACTCCCCCCCCTCTGCATTGACTTTATCAGATGTGGTCGGGGACAATCGGTAGGGAGTCTTGGACTTAACTGTTGTGCTTGTTGACATTCATTAATCAGAAAGGCGCAGCTTTAACTTTGAAGGGACTCATGTCCTTCGTAAGGTTCGAACCCGTGTCACTTAGTGTTGCAGTCAGAGACATTACCACCGAGCTATTTGGGCTCATGACTAACCTCCTGTAGGATTTTATTGGATATTTAGATTGGACACTAATTACTGCCTAATGTCGAATCAAAGCATTACTCCCCTCTTCAGGCACTGTATTGTTTCTTTAAGTTATTGATGCATTACATTCTTTCTCTGCTTCCATGACACACTTTTCATTTTGAAATCTAAGTTTCAGTGTGTCTGGTGAATTGGTATTTATTTTCAGATTACTGCAAAGTTTCGTTGGTGTATCTATCTAGTTCTTGGATTGTTTCTATGCGTGAAATATCAGTGAATAATATTCGATACACTATAATGTTAGCAACAATGGTCTGCATAAATGGAAGAGCACTTAACGATACTGGTTAGTAGTGAACTTTTAGTTTGTTTCCATAAATAATAAGGTGGTTAGTCATCTGGCTATTCATCACTGCAAATTTCACTCATTCTGCTTTCTCTAATATAACGGTGATGTATTTTCTTCATTGTGATTGTTTTATATGCCTATATTAACTATCATACTTTTTTTCACGTCTGATAACTTCCCATTATTTTTATCCCCTTATCATTGTTATTATCAGTATTATATTGTTTGTTTCTTGGGTTCCGAGTGGAACATAAGGCTTCAACAGCACATCTCCATTTCATCTTATTCTATGCAGTCTTTCGTAGATATCTTCATGATCAACCCATAGGCTGCCATCGCCTCCTCACACGATCTTCTCCATTTCGACCTCTATGTAACGCCCATCTTGTCGTTTCCCATTCTAATTCGCCTCAAGGGCTTGGAACTTGGTGTCACTCAACAGTCACCTGGGTGTCTGTCTGCTCTATCTCCACTTCCTTCTGCATATTTGCTGGGTGGTAGGTTCCTGGTTGCGAACTCCTGGCAAGCACAGCTGTTGTTAACACTCTGTTTGCAGACATTTCATTGTGAAGAAGTTAATAAGTTTTGAATTGTATTCCATCTCTTTGATTTAATTTCCCCCTGATAACGTATCTGTTGAAATAGAATTAGCATGTGGTGATTTAGACTGTCTGCCTTTTATTACTATTATTATCTGTTAAAACACAAACTTGTTACATTATGGGCACTAAGAGGTGAGCCACACGACATTTCATAGTCTGCGTGAAGGCTAGGGGATACTGCCCGGATGACTACACCGAAGTAGGTGGTTGACTTCGACAGCCATATCTGAGCCTTTAGCCTGAAGTCTATTCTCCAAGACTCATGGTCGCCAATGACTAAAACAGGTGAGGAGGACACCATTTGATCCTTTTGGATTCTCTAGCCGCCTATGTGCACCATAATTTTCAAATCAAAGTCTTCCAGCTCTTCAAGGTGTAGAACAGTTCACTTGTAAACGTCATGCGTTCATATTTATCCTTCCACTTTTTTGTGAAGCAAAACTAATCTGATTTCTTTATAAACTCAACGAAAGGAATAATGTGTTCATTGTCAAACAATAGTGAGTTAGAATTGAAAAGCTTATCATTTTCAATAGCTAGTTTTCATAAATACTTTTATAATTTAACTAATTTTCATTTAATTTTTTCATTTATGACACTTTAAAGTATACTATAGACCGGCCAGGTTTACAACTTGTAAGGAATTTTTTCGGTCAATGCATACTGAAGCAACTTTTAACTGAAGGTATGCACATGTTACTTTTGCGTTGTTGATTGCAATGTTTCTCTACTTCATACTTCGTATACCTGCTTGACTGTATTTCTAAATCGTTATCCTATATGCCTTTTTGGAGCTGATTACCAGGTCATGTGATCGGGGTTCCGAAATTCGATATTTATCTTCTACTGTTTGTTACTTGTAGCTTTCTTTTGTGAATAAACATTGGGAGATACCTATCAGGACATTAGAGAGGAAAGAACAAGAAGGCCAGAAAAGGGATATCTTCCGGTGATCGCATCCTCAAGAGCAGCTGTACAATCGCATTTATATGCATAATAATAATAATTTTCAACCTGACATGAAGGTGTGAACATAGATTGCAAAACAAAATTACACAGGATTAGGAGATAATTGCGTTACATGTAAAATAATTTTTAACATTTGAGTGGTTATATGCGGGAGGTTTTCCTTCGCATTGCTTAGAAGCACTGGGCGTCAAGAGAATATCACTCTTAGTATCGCTGCAGGAAAAGTCTTCTTTAGGAAAATAGAGATTCTCCCTTAAGAATATCTGCCGTCAAATCTCCCTTGAAGTCTAGATTCACTGGCACACTGTAAGAGGAGAATTTGCAGCGCTGACAGCTTAGAAGAAGAGCTCTTATTTCTTAAAAACATCCTAACCCAAAATGGATACCCGGCTCGTTTTGTTTAGAAGAACATGGAACTGAGGCCAAAAGGAGAAGGGTGCACTTCAATACCAAATAAAATACTATATATGACTGTATAGGACTTCAGGGGAGACTCAGGTCTTATAACAAAGGTAAGATACCACATATATCAAAGTCTGTACTCCCTGTAATCTTTTATGCAACATTTGAAATATACGAGTTTAGTCACTAATCTGAGAAACTGAAGGATTTGTGTACAGCAGTGATGTAGACCTAAAGTTTGAAAATGATTATTTGATCCTGTGTATGCAAACAATAGCATATAGGTTGTCTAAACTGTCCTTAATCAGTTGGCGATTAGTATCTGTAAGTATGGTATAGTAAGTAATTCAAAGCACTTTAGCAAAACTGTCAAGAGCCAGTGTTGCAGTATTCACATTGCAGTTAAACTGTTAGAAGTAGTCCAGAGGTCTACGTAGTTGTGTGGATGGTTGCTTGAGGAGGTATGACAGATGAGGATTTTAATCAAATAGTGAAAGCCATGGCGGTTTACTGTCTGGCTCCTTTGTGATTTTATTCTGACCATTACAATTCTTTGGTATGTGTGCCCTCTTGTTCTACACTTATTAAACTTGACCTCTCCCACCTAAGGTTTAGCGGCAAATTTGCGTGCTGGATCATCGATGTTTGCATAGAATTACTTGTATCTGGCGTCGTAACGTAAGCAGTTTTGAAATCTGACGGCATGTGTTTAACCATGGCTGAGATGGTCGCCCAGCAGATGTTATCATTTTTGGTTATTGATTTCAGGGGTTTAGAAATGTTACAGGATTTCATCATGAACTGACATTGGTTAGGGAACCATTGGAAAACCTGAGAGTACTGAACAGCTGTTTCATCCTAGTTTGGGACTCTTCAGCAGTACGCACCCACACCACAGGGTTCGAACCCAGGACCTTCTGGTTACAAGGCGAGCTCATAGACCATTAAGCCACTGGGACCCCGATTCAATGGCCCATGAATTCTAACTTCTGCCAATTCGGAAATGTGTTATGGATGTCATCGTAGTGGCTTCCACACCATTTTGTTAGCCCTTGTATTCCCATTTACCCATCTGGAAAAAATTGAGCGAAGAAATATATTACCTTTCCATTAGCTCCTTATCATCAACTCTACACTAATATATAGATTTATGCATCAAAATTTTACCAATCATATGGTTATTTTAGTCCACCAATTTTAGGTGTAGGGGTGTAAAAATAAGATATTACAGGCCATCAAAAGAATTATATATATATACTGCTGTAGAGCCCATTTTGAGCCCTTGAATTGGTTGGAAAAAGCTATTGGTGCCTACTAGTACATCACAACTCTCTGATTAGCGTTCCAGACGTCATGTAACTCATTGGCTTGATACGTATTACAACAGGAGGCTCAGAATCGAAATCAATGACTGGTATACTTCACTGTCTCTTTGTTTGTTTTAATATTTCGTTTTGCGCATCTTTAGGTGCTCATATTGTAATAAGTTTATGTTTCCGTTGAAAGATACACTTCGTAGTACACCTTAATTTGATGTTGAATGTTTAAGGGAGTCTCAGTTTATTGGTAGCCCTGGATCCGATAGGCTTCATTACTTGTTAACACTCATCTTCTCCCAAAGATCAAGTTAACGACTTTTTCGACTTGTCTGTTACAAATTTGGTTGTTTATTTTACATGTTTAGTGTATGTGTGTTACGCGAAGGATGCATAGTTAATTGATCTAAGTACTAGACTTTCAGCCAGGGGGTCAGAGATCCAATTCCCACTCCATCAACTTCAACCTGGGCAATTGGATAGTGTGATTAGCCCTTACACAGCCTAGAACACTGAAGGATGTGTTCAAGGAATTGAGTTTAAACAAACTGAGAGGAGTTGCTGAGCTTCCTTCGAAACTACTCATCTTCGCGGGGTCAATCATTCTAATCTTAGCTAAATTCCTATGTTCTGATAATTTCACTACTGATAATCTACTAGTTTGACCTGTGTAGTTGACTTTACTGGCAGTCATTGCAAGGTATTTTGTAAATTATATTATTTTGTCTGATTGGGTCAACCTACAGGGTCCTTTAACCTACAGAGCTTGTCCCTGGGTGAGTTTGTAGGTTTGAATGCCACCCTAATTCCTCCTTTATTAAGAATCCTACTTATGGAGGGTTTCAGATGTCCCCTCCTTATATGGTAAAACTACTATAGGTGCCTTATATTCTTTCTTATTTATGTTATCATTATTAGTTTCACCATTATTTTTATTTTGCTTTCGACCTTTCCTTATCTTCCTAATGAGTCTTATAGGATAGGTATTGAATACTAACGCCTCTTCCATCTGTTTCATTTCATCATTTAGAACTTTCCTTGTACTACTTAGTGCTACTACTCGGTTTGCTAGACAATTAAGTAAACCCGCTCTCACAGACAGTTAACGGATGAAATGAATTAAATTCTAGATGTCTATTCGAATGCGTTGGTTTTTTATAAACGCTAGTGTGTACAGTTTACCTTTTTCTGTTCGTTTCGTTTTATTTTACAATATAACATAGCTAATTCTCCTCGTTCATTTTCCGATTCAAATGTGAGTTTTATTCCCTTTACTAGTGAGTGAGTTTATATGTGTCAAGAAGCTAGAGATATGTTGTGTTTTCAACACTGTGAAAGTGTCATCCACTTATCTCCACCGTATTTTTGGAGTAGGATTAAATGTATTAAGAGCTATATATTATACTCTACCACATTGCATAAGTTTTATTCTTGCAAACTGAGAGGAGGATGCAAAGGTACTCCTCAGATTTACAGTCTAAAGTAGATAAATGTGTGTAATCGCTTTATTGAGATTCCACATAAGTAAACCGGTAAAATATCGACCTCAATGTAGATTTTTGTGGATATTTAGTTTAAAATTTCGGTCATACATAACTTCGCTTAATTTTCTTGTCCTAATGGGTTTTGTGAACTTTTGGTCTGTATTTTTTTCCTTCAATCAGGTGAGCGGTATCTAATCAGTGCATTTCATCTAATCAGTTTTACGGACCAAGGTAAGTGTGCGTAGTCATCGATTTAAGACTACTTTTAGTGCAATTTATATTTAGATAACAAGCCTAACACTTTTGAGATGTTTTCAAGAATTAGGTTGTAGGGATTTGACTTGCTTCAGGTTCGATCATGAGTTGATATCAGTTAGAGAACCATTAGGACAGTTGTTTCGTCCTTCCAGTGTGGTATTCTTCATCAGTACGTGCCCACTGGGTTTCGAACCGTGGACCTTCTGGTTACAAGGTCACTAGGATCGGATTCGATGACCCATAAGTTTTTCTATTTCCGCCAATTAGGAGTTTCAGTGCGACTGGCGCTAGCCAATTTCATTGGTGAGTAATTGTCCACACACCAGACCTGGTGGAGACAGCATTAGTCCGTTCGTGACCAAATTTGAATCGATCAATATCCTTGCAAACTAACTCCTAAGAATTAATCAGATCACTTTGATTCTGTTGGAATGTTTTATTACTTTTTGACTACCAGCCTACAAATCATGTTCAGTTGAATGCTTAAAAATGTCTTCAGGACAGGGTATATAAGCACTGACATTTAGTGCTTATGCAAACTATGAACTATACGAATCAGAAACTTGGCGTGTCACGGAAAGGATTTCCATCAGGTTGCAGACTTTTATCAACAGCTGCCTTCCTTCACTGGCTCCACACTCAAGATCAAATGGCCAGCCAGAAAGAATTAGCAAGAAGAAACTCTGGCTGGAAGCAAACCAACAAGCAAGAGTCGATCGCTCAACAAATGTGTAGGAGGAAGTGGGGGTGGATAGGGCATACATTGAGGAGGGCGTCGAATGATATGGTGGGCCAGGCCATTGCTCGAGTGGAATCCCAATAGGAAGCGACGAGTGGGTTGTCGGCACGGAGGTGATATCGAGGAGATCGTGTGTTGGGGAGGAGAAGATGAGAGATTATGGGCAATCGTGGATGACAGGATGACAGGAAATAGAAGAAAGTGGATATGTGTTGTTGAAGTCCTATGTTCCACTCAGAACCCAAGGGAATAATAACGATAAATAATAATTTGTTCATGGAATATATCACACAGCTTAGCAGGAGTATTATTTATTGAAGAATAACGTTTTGAAGCTGTAGAAAATCGGTCAGGAATGAATTGATTTTTGACCAGTAACCAAATTATATACATAGAAAGAGGGTAGTAACACTTAAGAAGATGGTATGTAAAACATCAGTAGTGCTGTCATACAAGGGTAGAATCCCTAAAATCATACACAGGGAGTAATAAAAATGTCATTCCAATCTACGAAATGATTTAGTTTATCTAATATCTTGTGAAGATTGTGTGAGGTCAAAGTAGTAGTAGAAGACCAGGGTCAGTTAGATCATTACCAGACAAAAGCTTAACAAAATCTACACCAGTGGACTCTGTTAAGATAAGAAATATATGAAAAACTCAGCTGTAGAACTTCATACAATAAGGTGAGACGTAGTGATGGTCTTAAAGTGTAATATAAAAGGGTAGAAGGAGTCTGATTGATGAATAAAACCGTATCTTATCGAATTAACTAAGAAGACATGCAATGGGATTGATTGAATGAATACCCGTTCATCCTAATATCTAGAAAATCCGATTGTCCTCAGGACATAGAAGAAAATAAGATTAATGATAAAAATGGTGAAAATAATACAAATAATATGGAGTTCAAATCCTCTACAGTACTAGGATTCTTAATGTACCTGGAATTAGGGTGGCATTTAAACCAACCAACTCTCTCAGAGATAAACTTTGTCGACTTATAGACCCGAGGTATCCATTCAAGGGTTATCAAATTATGACAGCTCAAAGACTGCGGTCAGCCATCAAACGCACATTCTTCATCGCATCTCTTTCCTTCACATCTCGAACATTTTTGATCCCTTTACTTACGATTAAAGGATGAAATTCTGTAGACTCTACGTAAGACTGTATCTCCAAGTTCTCCTGCAGTCACGGTAATACTTATATAGGTAGAACCAATAGAATGTTCCAATGTCGTCGAAAAGAACATGTTCCAAAATGGTTATTAAAACACTTAGAAAATCTATCATCATCCAGTGCGAAACACTTATTAATGTCAGGTCACAAAATCAGTATCAATGACCACTTCACAATTACTTCATCACATAACTCTAATTCAAGGTTTGTTATTAAATGTGATGGAAGCACTTTGAAGATTAATCACATACAGCCTAAACTGTGTGTACAAAATACAATAGACTTCAACCTACGCCTATCATGGACTACATGACCTATTAAAATGTGATGATTGGTCATTAGTATGTACTTCTGTTTTATATAACTGAGTAATTGCCATACATTTTGGTTTATTTTATTATTATTGTGAACCGTGTTAGTTGTAAGGCTATTTATTGTAGAGAAACTACGAAATGAAGATATCATATCACGAAATTTATCTTGTAAATGCCTTATTCAAATTTATCAAATGGACTAATTGTTTTAATATCCAATAAAGAAAAGTAATATAATTTACCAAATATCATGCAGTCAATGAATGTGAGGTCAACAATTACATAAGTCAAACTAGTAGTAGATCGGGGTCAGTTACGTTATCGGAATGTAGAAATTTAGCTACATGTAGAATGGTTCACCATACTAAATTAAATAACCTAGACAAAAAGCTCGGCTACTGCATCGCATTCATTTGAATATAATCACAAAATAGGGTGGGATAGGATGAAAGTAATATAGTTAAGTGGAGAGAGAGGGAGAGGTTAACCACTGAATTTTTTTGTTATCGATTCAACACCGCACTCAGATACAATCGAAATGATGCAGGGCCTCTACTGGAGATATGGAAAGTGGCAATAAACAAGCGGAATACAGAGAGAGGGAGGGAGAATACTGGTATAAAGCAAATCATAGAGCCGTGTGACTAAAAATGATATATATGGGCCATTGAATCGGGTCCCAGTGGCTGAATGGTATACGAGCTTGCCTCGTAACTGGAAGGTCTTGGGTTCGAACCCTGGCAGTGGGTGCGTACTGCCAATGATTCCCAAACTAGTACTCCAGTGCTGGTTTCCAATGGTGGTTCTCTAACTGATATCAGTCCTCCGTAGTCAAACTCGTAAAAACAAATTTAATCCTTACAAACCAACTCTTGATAAAAGTGATATGATTGTAAGCAATAAATTCTTCTCGAAGCATCATCCAATTATTAATACTGTATCACTTTATGATATTTAAAATAAACTTATTCAATATAGAAGAATATTCTACAACAATGCCTAAGTTCTACACTTACACTAGTCAAATTTTCCTTTGCATATACAATATTTATAGGTGTATATGATCTTGTGAATAATTTGGGATCATTAGCTGCCCGACTACTTTTCTTACCGTTGGAGGAAAGCTGTCATTTTACATTTAGTCAATGTCTTAAAAGAGATGTTCCGCCTAGTCTACAGGATAAAGTGAGTTAATTTTAGTAAATCAGTAGTATGTATTAGTAGATGTCAATATAAACATTTTAACTGTATGCATTGCTTTACCCCATTCTCATTCATTCAAAAACCTTACGCTAATCCCCTTGGGTATATTATCGTGTCATAAGCTAAGCTGATAGTGCGTCGGTAGCACAGCGGTTGAGACGCTCGCCGACCATGCACATGGTCCGGGGTTCGACCCCCGGCCACTGGACGTACTCCTTTACCTCGCTATCCCAGTAATAACACTCGTAAAGAGGAAAGGTTGGGCATAAGACTAGCAACTCCATCCTTTAAAAATAAACACTGCTACAGAAACTTCAAGTCTGTAGCTTGAAGCCCTATGTTCCACTAGGAACGTGAACGAATGAAAAAGACGCTAAGCTGATATTTCAGTTGAAGTATTGGAGTTAACATGCTCCCCACTGATGATTGGTCTCAACATAGGCTCAGTTTTTGAAGTCACTGACAGGTAGTTATTGATTCGAGATGGTGTGATAACATGTAGAGTACCTGACCACTTGAACTTTTGATTAACGGTGGCTGAGAACTGACAGCAGTGGCGCAGTTACATTTATGCTGTTGATTACATGATCCCATTTAGTTTTTTTTTATAGTTTTCTTTTGTTTGTGTAGTACTTTTAAGAACCTTTGATTATAGATATTTTGTTGTCTTTTATTTTTCTTTCTTACCTTTTATGGGGTTTTATGCTGATATCCCTACGTAGATCCCACTTCTTTATATCATTTCTATGCCCTAATAGCTTAATCATCATTATAGCAGATGTTTTTTCTATGAAAGCTGCAGAAAGAAAAAGCACTGACTGGTTTCATTTGTCATCACAGGGTATGGCACAATTATACAGACGATTCGCCTTTATCATTATGAAGTAGACTGAATAAGAAAACACCCTAGAAGTAGATAAATTCCATTTCAAAATGTTTTTGAACTTTCTGGATTGTGTTTTTAGTAGTAATAATAATACTTTGCTTTATTCCAAAACAGTACTTGTGATACAGAATGGAATTCTCAGCATTTCCCTACAGTATTGCATCCAGTTTGTACATTAACAATAAATAAAATTCTAGATAGATTATGGGTAGTCTCAGTTAGTTTTGCCAGCAACATATTAGCATATCGCTGGCAAAGCCAAAAGTGAACTGAATGTTTGAAGGTGTTAGAAAAGTAGATACTACTAGCATATTTACTGGCGTAAGCGGTAACAAAAAGGTCGAGATATACAGAGTGTGAAAGAACGAAGAAAAATTTTTTTAAACAGAGTTTGTAAGGAAAAGAGGATCAATGCTGCACATAACAGAAAAAGAGAGAGAGAGAGAAAAGGAAAAGATAGAAAGAAAACGTTGTACCTATAAATGATATGAGTTGGAAAGACGAGATCCAGCTGTTGTTCTACTGACTATTTAATAAGTTATAGGTATCACGCCTAATGCTTTCTTTATCGCACAGAACACGAGCTAAGTAGGGTATGGATGAGTTTTTGTACTTGCTAGTGAGAGCATATAGTTTTCTATATAGACTTCTGGTCTGCCTGCCTGATGAGATAGATACAAGGGCAGAGTTGTGAATGAAGAGGGTGTTGTGAGTTAAATAGAATGGGTTGAGCCCATTTTTCACATGAGTCCAAGTGCCTGTCGACCAGAACATTAACAAGCTGGTTAAGTGACACGTTGCTTAACCTGCTGACAACGTTTAACACCGTACGAAATAAGGTATAGTCTTTCTTCAGTAGCCCTGGAAAAACCAAGGGCGAACATTAGAGAATAATAGGCAGAATACGGGAATTAACGAATTGTAGGATTAAGGGTCGGGTTATACCAGAATGTCTTAACTTCTTGATGTAGAAGGCTAGACGGAATATTTTCTTAGATATCATCAAGATGTGAGACGACCAGGGAAGATCAGCAGATAGAATGACGCCAAGATATATATTTAATTTCCGACTTGGTCTATATTTTCAGTGCCATCTATGTTGCACACCTCGTGAGTGCTAACCACCAGTTTGTTTAGGTCAGATTTATGCCTCAAGGTGAAATTGACTGTTTGACATTCAGAAGGATTTAAGGTTAGACCATTTTCCTTGGATCACTGACTGATTTCTGATTTGTCAAACAAGAAACTGATGGGAAACTAAAGTTCACGATATATAAAAGAAATCGTCAGATTCAAACAAATAACCGATAACCATTATATATGATTTTGATTGGGAATGATTGTCCGGAAAAAATTTCTAGATAACATATCCAGACAAAAGGGCAAGGTGAAAAAGAATAAGGATTGAAAAAAATCTTAAATGTCGATGATGCATATTCCATATCGCAAGGACACGACTGAACAACTTCAAAGAATACCTGCTTCATATTAATGTTTAAAGTCTATTTCAAGCCCTCTAGTTCTTAAGAGAAAGCTTTAGTGCTTGCCAAAGATATGTTTCCTAGAATAAAAAAACCCAACTCTGTCCATAGCATAAAATGTTCAGAATGTGAGGCTGGTTATATAGGCGGAAAGCAGTAAGCAGATGAAGGTGAATGAACATAAACTAACTGTGCACGAAACTTTTGCCCAGAAATAAGCTAGAATTAAAGAGTCTAAGAAAGAAGATCAGCTATAAACAGCGAACATATAATCGATTTCGACAATAAGGCCTTCAGCCCCCGAAGCCTCAGGATGGTCGTGGGGTGCCTTGCGCTGCGGGTTGGCCACCCCTCCGTACACCTCTTGAAATGCTCCTATATATGACCGAACGTCTTACATAGACTCTCCTGAGGAAGTCCTACTCACTGCCTTTACGTGGTGGAGGTGTTTTTCACCGAAGTGAGAGGACAAAATCGGATGTTCGGCGCTCTTCACCGGGTTGACAGTCTAGGGAGATGGCTAAACCCTGATTCCAAACCTCCAACGACTGGTGTATGAAGCTCACCGGCAGACGTATGGACAAGGGGCTTATTGGATGCCCTGGATGTCTGGCCCCATTCAAAAAGGCGTATGAACCGGACTCCGGTCACCGGCTGCCAATGAATAGTGGACTCCCTACTCCACTCCTACTGCCTTGTAGGTCACACTTGGTTGTGTAAAGGCTAGAGCTGCACTCTCAAACAAAAGGCCGAGCGATGCTGGGGACATCACTCGTACCTAATTCCCACGAAACTTCATGAACTCTCTACAACATCAACCAAATTCTAGTACTGGTCCAACAACGTCGTCTTCGGTGGTTTGGCCATGTTCTGCGCCGACCAGATGACGATCTAGTCAAATCAGTTTTAAATCCCTCGCCATTTCCACCGTGGCGATATCGCAGGGGTGGACAGCTGAAAACACGGCTTGGTACAGCCAAGGCTGATATGGAGTGCCTGGGGCTACAAACCGTCTACGGACTCCGTCTGTGGAACAAGAATTGGATAACCCTGTCGCAAAACCTTGCATCAGATCACCGCGCCTGGGCAGCGATGATTCGAGATATTCATGAAGCCGGCTCATCCTCCCGTAGGAGATAGCCGAAGTAAAGTAAGTAATAAGGCCTTCATTCACATTTAGGAAGACTGACCACATCGAATGCAATAAATAGGAGAGAAGGGGTAGACTTACCACCTATAAGGCAAACTCTAATGAAGCAAAACAGATCAAAAAAACCAAAATTATTTTCAATCCTGTGTTGTGACCTCTGTAAGAATATTATCATGCTTTACATATATGAATAGACGTGTTTTCCATATAACAAACAACATATACACACACACACTAATACGGACAAATATGCACATATGGAAATTTGACATTTCTCATTACAAATATGTGCAGTCTATTTACATTGGGGTTATTTGGTCAATGGTGATTGGTTAACAGTTGAATCCAGGATGTGCGACTAACCCTATTTGGGGCTCATCAACTGGATATATCTTCCTTCATTCCCTAGTGAGTGATGCTGTTCCTCCCAGTAAGCATGGAACCCAGTACCCTTCGTTTCAAATGCCGAAACGTTATTCAATAGACCACGCACTGGGGAAGGGGAATGTGGGTACATCCAGCCGACCGTTCTCTGATAGAACGAAATGCGCATCCTTGATTTAGATATGATAGAGGAGATTTGTAGCTCAGGTGGATGATTTTGATGTGGTTGCGTTCTCTGAGCTGGATGATTAATTTGCGAAGCTTTCGTCGCCCTACTAGGTGACATTTTCCTCGCATACTTCGATTTGAAGTGAGCTTTTAGATTTCTCCACGAGTTTATTAATCATCTCTCCTGGCGACCTTGGACGTGAGCACTATTCAAGAGGGCAAGGACACATTGCAGCACTCCTCTCTTAAGGAAAATTGAAGATAAATATCTCATGGACGTCTTCCAAAAGAATGGATATTCACGGAATTTCATCAAAAAACATATAACCCCAAGCCAGCCTGTCAAGCCAAAAGCCCCTAAGGAAAGAATAAAGAAAATCGCCTTACCATATATAAAGGATACCTCACAAATCACTACAAGACTCTTCAAACCTTTAGGAATTGACGTCTCACACAAACCAACAAAATCACTCCACTCGACACTGTATCAACCAAAAGACTCAACAGCGAAAGAAGATAAAACCAACATCATCTACAAAATAAATTGTAACAATTGCGAAAAACACTACATTGGTCAAAATGGACGACCCCTTCGTCTTCGTATCCACGAATATAAACTAGTCGTCAAAAGACATGGCATCTTCTCCCTCCTATTGCCGCATACATATAACCACGGACATCAATTCGACTGGGACAACGTTCAAATATTAGACAGAGGAAACAACAAGAACCTTGGCATTCCCGTGAATCATCAATTAATAGACACATCGACATAGACAAAATTTATCAACCGATAAGAAATAAACCTCACACAAAGAGTCAAAGTTCAAGTCAAAGAAACAATCAATTCCAATACAAGTAACCTAGACGGTGTGAAAACACACAAAAACAACGAATCACGTTCAAGGTGGTCACCAGGAGAGATGATTAATAAACTCGTGGAGAAATCTAAAAGCTCACTTCAGATCGAAGTATGCGCTGAAAATGTCGCCCAGTAGGGGGATGAAAGCTTTGCAAATAAACCAGCCATCCAGCTCAGAGAACACAACCACATCAAAAGCATCCTGGATTCCACCGTCAATTACCATTCACCAAATTACTTCAAGTTAGATCCCCAGGCATCGTCTTAGTATTTCCATCAGAAGCCGACATGTCAGCAGAGGCCCAACACATCAGTCTAGTCAGTCAATGGGCAAATCCGAATTGAATTAAATACGCTGGGGATTATGTTAAGTAATTTTTAATCACCACTCATTGTTGTTTATTATTCAATCTGCTTTATTAAACATAGAAATTACTTGCTGATGTGTTTCGTATCCTGAGAACAGCTCTTCGTACATCAAGTTTAGTTGCATGGATTGGTGTAACATTTGCTCAGGCTAATTCTCGTCTACTATTAATGATTTATGCTGGTCATAGATTGGCTGATTATCCTGCAGCTGTTAATTTACTCCAGTTGTACTCCGCTTATGTTTTATTACTTGCATGGAATGGTTCAACTGAAGCTCTGTTGAATTCAGCTATGTCAACGGTAAGTGTATTACATCTGCTTGATTACTGTTCCATTTTTTTTCTAAAAGGAAACTTTTATTACTTAATTCTATTTTTGATTTTCCCGTCGATTGATCGGACCGAAGTGCTCGGTCTCAGGTTGTTGACATGTTGGCTTCTTGTGCAGATGCTTCAACGATGTCTGGGTATGTAGTTAGAAGCTAATTGACGGATGGTGACTAGCAGTGGAATCCAAGATGCGCGTTTCATCCTATTTGGGACTCGTCAGCTACTGGATGCTTTATACTACTGTGATTGTAATGAGTATTTGGAAACTACCAAAGTTAAGTAGTGATTGTAGTCGCTAATCAAATCGCTAAGTGATCTAAACCTCGGATGACTGTTTCAATCTTTTGGGAGTTGAATTCATTACTCATGTACCTGGTTCGATTCAGATCCGGAAGGTTAGCTGGATTCAATTCAAACCATCGGAAATCTAGCCAGCCGTTTGGACTAATTAGTATCAAGGAGATGTGGATATTTCTAGTTTTCTAAGGAGACTTTGGTGAGTTTTCATATCGAACTGTATGACTTGAAAATAACGAATTTGATGGAATAGTTTAAGCCTAATTGGGATGGTAGTAATATAAACTTGGGGGGTAATAATTATTAACAGTAGAAATATCAGGATCATAGGAGTAGACTCAATGCGAATATTTTTCATGATTCAAACGTGCTTTACTCATTCGGTCATCCATATTTACCATTCCATTTCATTTCATTTTCACTACAGCAATATTGACTAGTAATTCGGGTATTATCAGTTGAAATGTATTCACATTCACAAATAGTTTTGTTTTGTCAATAAGTAATTATTATTCTATTCTGTTCTATTCTACAGGATGAAGTTTTACGTCATAATCAACGCTTAGTGATATTCTCTGTAATATTTCTTTGTGCAAATTGGTTTCTTGTCCCTATTTTCAATGTATATGGTTTTGTACTAGCCAACTGCATTAATATGCTAACTCGTATTACATACAGGTAAGAAGGCTTTATCGTATTTTGTTAATATATATATTTATTTATTTTTCAAAACGCAAGCAGTATTCAATGACTTCATCGATTATTTGATGGTAACTTTAGGACATTTTATTCCAGTATTCCAACAAATATGCTGAAGAAAATAGAGGTGGATCTGGCATACACTGGGTTGACCGTTGGGTGGTGACATTGTGCTCCAAATTATCGCTCAAGTGGGATCCGAATTGGAAACGATGAGTTAGGCGTGACTCTAAGGGTGACATGGATGAGGTCGTGTGGTGAAGAGATGAGAACTTATGGGCGGTCGTGGAGTCAGCCAAAGAGAACCGCAGAGAACAGGACAAAATGGAGATGTTCTGTTGAAGCCTCATGTTCCACTCGAAACCCAAAGGAATATTAATCATTTCATTTTCTAGAATAATAAAGCGACTGTTTTAAAAAAAATCCATTATTAAACTTATCAGCTCTTTTAATATTTCATAAAACTGAAGATTACAATATTCCTTAAAATGATAATTTTAAGCGTAAAAGATAAACTGCCTAATTTCGCCTCTTCTGTGTGTATCTACCAATTTAAATGCTCCTGTAGAGTCAGTCAAATAGGCTGTGCAATTAGGCTCATTTATCATCAGATTTCCGAACATTACCCTGCATAGTAGTTGAGTAAAGGACAACAAAATCCATTCACATAACGCTATTCTATCTCATCTTGTGGATACATAACACAAAAGTGATGGAAAGAACTTGGTGGCTTTCAAAGTCATCTACTGCATACCAACCAATCTTAGCTTCACCTTAAGAATTCGTCTACTGTATATTACTGAGGCTGTTGGGATGTACATTAAGAAAATTAACTTGTGTATCCAAAAGAAGTTGGTTCAGACATTGTCCTTACCCCGTTGGCCATCTAGGTTCTAATGATCCTTAATTTGTTGTTGAGTTTTCCTTAATTTTATTTGGTGTTCTATTTAGTATTACATTTTTATGCTTATTACAATCTAAGCATTTTTAATGAACTGTAATTCCATTGTGATCTTACTTAACTAATCGATATTATTTAAAAAATACTAATATTGTTATTCGAGCACCTCAAATAAACTACAGAAGACAGGAGTAAGACAAGGTTGCCTACTATCGCCAATGATTTTCCTGATTACAGTGGATTGGATAATGCGACAGACAGCGACAATGAGGAAACAGGCATAAAATAAACTCACACAAAAACTTGGAGGATCTGGGATTCGCCGATGATATTTGTCTGATTTCCCACAAACTGGAAGACATGCAAGTGAGAAGCAACAAGTTGGCGATAGAAAAAGCATCAAAGATAGGACTTTAGGTGAACATAGAGAAAACAGAGGTGATGAAGATTCCAGGGCAACACCGACAGCAACAACAAAAACAGACAGCAATCATCCAGCATAAATGGGAGGAACCTGAAAGAAACAGCCTCCTTTACCTACCGACCTGGGAAGCATCGTTTCAACTACAGGCGGACAGAACTGACGAGGATATCAAGGCAAGAATCGGAAAAGCAAGACAAGCTTTCATTACTCTCAAGTCTGTGTGGAGGTCAACAGCAATCAGCACCAAAAATAAGATCCGGTTTTTCAACTCCAATGTGAAGTCAGTGCCATTTACTATACGGATCAGAGACTTGGCCAGCGCGTCATAAAGAGCATCTCAAACAAACTACAGACCTTCATTAACAGTTGTCTTCGCTCAATACTCAAGATCAGATGGCCGGTCAGAAAAGATCGGCAACAGGGATCTCTGGCAATGAGCAAACCGACTCAGCAGGAACCGATTGTGCAACAAACAAGGAGGAAGAAATGGAGACGGATTGGCTGGCCATACTCTGAGGAAACCATCAAGTGACATCACTAGACAAGCCGTCACTCGAGTGGAACCCGAAAGGGAAGCGGCGAGTTGGTCGTCAGTGTAGGAGCGACTTGGAGGAGGTCATGCAAGGAGGAGATGAAAGCATGTGGGCAGACTTGTAGCCAGGTGAAAAAGTTGGCGGCGAACCGAACGCAATGGAGACGTGCAGCTGAAGCCCTATGTTCCTCTAGGAATTAAAGGAAATAATAATATAATATTGTTATTGAGACTGCTATTCGAGAATATTCTATGTATATTAACATGTCTATAATTGTAGAGCAAGAAGAGGAAATTATCGAAAAGGATATTCTTTGCTCAATTATTTTGTGTTTGATAGGTGTCTGAATGAATAATAGAAATTTTTAATTAGAAAAGTGATGCGATAGTAGTTGAACGTCTGAAATAATTAGCTTAAGATGTGTAATATTAAAGCTTTATTACAGACAATACGTAAACATGTAATATAAAAATCTTCAGTTTATTTAGTTCCAAAATGTTTCATCTTCGTACAGGATTTACATGTTAAGCTTAGTCTGACTGTATATGAAGAGACAACCAACCCTGTATATTTTTTCTGCATTTCCTTCAAGAATTGCACAGATTTTTGTTGGAAACCAATTAAATATGTGCGCGCGCGTTCATCTATTGAACATCTGATATAATTACATGATTAAAACAATAAGAAGTTAAGATTTGTTTCATCTCTTTTATATAGATGAAAATTCTGGTAACCGAGTGATTTAAGCAGACCGTCGTTATCTCTTTTTCCATCTCTTTGCATCCAGAAGGGAACATAGGGATTCAAACCTAAGCTTTGAAGTTGCAGTTGCTAGCCTCGCGTGCAATCTTGTCTCAGTTTTAATCAATCAGAATCATAAGTTGATTGACTGACTTGTCGAGGTCAGCACAAATATATATGGCCTACATATCGTGTAATAGTTTATCAGATGTCTGAATGAGTCAACTGGCAATACACTTTGTTTTGTAACTCGTGTTATTTTGGAGATTCGAAGATGGATGAACCACTCAATGTTGTTATTACTATCATTATTCCTTTGGGTTCCGAGTGGAGCATAGGGCTTCAGCAGAATGTCTGCATTTCATCTTCTTCTCTACAGTCCCCTTTATCTCGCCATTTAAGCTTTTATCCCCTTTACATCACCCTGGGAACCATACCCAACCCATGATCCTTTAGAATTGACTGGATTACATATATACGCTAATTGACCACAAGATAGCAAGTAACCAGTATAACTGTGTTGGGTATTGACACAGTGTTGAGGTGCTTTTATCCTTCTAGAGTTTTAAAATTTATCAAGACATTGTTTCCTATTTATTTCAAAAACTGGTTTTATGGTATCATTTTTTCTACCCATATTCCCATTCGATTAGTGTTTACTATATACGTCGTTATATTAGAAGAATTGATGAACCAGTGAATAATCATATTATTGCAAAAGACAACAATTTGAAATCTTTCCCCCTCAAAAATAACAGACCATCTCCATCATCTGATACACAAGGCTGTGTAAAAGACACTCCCCAATTAACAAAGATTTCTCTTCTCTCTTTAATGTTACCATCTTGGAATGAAGCCAGCGTTTTGTGCATTTCGCTGTTATGCACCTTAATTTCACAGGTAAGTGTATTATTTAACCTTTTTTTATTGACCACAATTATTATTTAGCTATTTGATGTGATCTGTCGCCAATTTTGATATGACCGTTAACATACTTGGTAGTTGCGCTGATGAACTTTCTATCTAGTCATTTCGAGAGCCTATTGTTCTAACCACTACTAGCAACGACAACAACAACACCGCGATACGATACCACGGAAAACACGCGACGCAAGAAGACAAGCAGAGAAGTCTGACTGACAGCGCTTGAGTGTATATATATGCTTTAAAATGACCATGAGAGACACTAATGACATTGATCAATTAAAACAGTCAACAACCAATAAGATTTCAAAGGTCATCAGTTGGGTGAGAGAAATACAGGCATGTGAAAATGACAACTATCATTGTGTCTCTTTGCATTTCGAGTGAGAGCATAGAGCTTCAAGCTAAAGCTTTGAAGTCTCAGTAGTGCAGTGGCTTTATTTTTACGAGATGGGACTGCTAGCCTCATTCCCATGCTTCCCTGCCTCTTTACCAGGGTTACTATCGGTTAATTGAGATTAAGGAATGCGTTGGCCGGCGATCGAACCCGGACCATGTGTGTGATTGACGAGCATTCCACCAATGCACCACATAATAGAAAGTTTTTAATTTTTTTCCGCCAGCGTTAGTCTTAGCTGACTTCGTGTTTAAATATATGAAGACAATTTGAATGCTTGAAAGAAGTTGTTGTTTTTTAACAATTCACATCGTTTGGTTTAGATTTGAAAGTTAGAATTCATGGGTCATTGGATTCTGTGACTGGTTTGAATATTTGCATGAAACTATATACTACTGATTAACTGAAATAAGTAGTTGCATATCACTCATATCAACCTGTAGTGCTTGCTGGCCAGCCAATCAGGTCGAGTTGGTCTTTACACTTAATGGCCGTTTCACTCGTTTTGCTCCGAGCTCATCACTAGTGTACCCGGTTTGACTCAGCTGAGAGAGCCGAATCATTTCAAACCATTCGATTTCTGGCTATCTAGCTACTTTGTCGAAATGGTGATACTAAAAATCAAATTCCTAATTTGCCAATTGGTTAGTAGTTTGCATACTTCAGTTAAGGTATGCACTGAAGATGTATCCTAGTAACTTACTAAATGACTGGTTTCAACATAGAACTTTGCACTGATGTGCAGCAGTTCGAGTCGTCACACTCCATGTAACACACAGAGCAAGAGAAAATAAAAAAGAAATGCGAAATAGAGACGGTAAACAGAAATATGTGGCAAAAGAATAGTAATATTGAAGAATCATATAGTTTTATTGGTATTATAAGTCACAAGGAGTGGATGCATTTGCGCCAGCCATTGAGAACGATTTTGAGCCAACCTTGATTGGTTTTTACTATCTCGAGGACCCCACAGGTCTCACAGTCATAAAGGAACACAAAGCGGACTACTAAGCAGTACACACGCCCTCTGGTCGATAGCCAGCCAGATATCACGTCTACGCCAGAGACGGCGTAAACTAGCATTTGTGAAACGAACCTTCTGTATCCTTGCTGAGATTTCGTCAGCAATCAACCCGCTGTCGTTGGCTGATGCAGTGGTCAACACGCTCTACTCACTTCACTCCCTATTTCTAATCTAGGAGTCAATGTAGTCTAGTCCTGTAGCCTCATCATCTTACATTTGGCGGTAGCGAGTCGCATGCCAAACATTCGTAGATTGCAGCTCAAGGAGTTCAGAAGACTGCATTTTGTCAGCGGCTTCACCTAGAAGGACTATATCATCTGCATATTCTAAGTCAATGCTCCTGTCCATCCCAAGCAAAATACTAAGCCGCATCATCCTGGAAAGAATCGAACAAGCCCTGGATGAAAAAATTCGACCGGAACAGGCTGGATTCAGGAGAAACAAGTTGCATATGAGCTTGAGAGGAAGAAATATAACGAAGACATTGGCTAGCGGTTGCGCTATGTCGTGAATTGGCAGAAGTTAGAATTCAAGGACCATTGGATCGGGTCCCAGTGGCTTCATGGTATACGAGCTCACCTTGTAACCGGTAGGTCCTGGGTTCGAACCCTGTGGTGTGGGTGCGTACTGTTGAAGAGTCCCAGACTAGGACGAAACAGCTGTCCAGTACTACCAGGTTTTCCAATGGTTCTCTAACAAATGTCAGCTCATGATGAAATCCTGAAATATAATGATTGTTGAACGCCGACGGTAAGTATGCCTATGTTTCAGAATCTTTCGGAGGGTAAGGCGATGGAAGATTCGCAAGTAAACCATTCAACTCAGTGAGCACAACTGCATCAAAGTTTGCAGCTACTCATCTCAATCAATTATCCAGTAGTATATACGTTTTTTGTACAAATGTGCTTGCTTTCTTGATTACCAGTTATGACATAAAGCAGATGACATATTGGCGATCTGAACAATTTAGGTTTCTAAAGGAAACTACGGTGAAATTTTAACTCCTATGCTGATGGGGAGGCGGTGGTGGGTAAGTGGTATTCAACGCATTAGTAGGATTTCATCGTGAACTAGTGAATTTTTCGAAGTTCTATTCAGATAATGTATATAGTGTTATTTATTGCTATTATTACTACTGAAGTCAACATTTTTATGCTTTCATTGTATTTCAGCACTTTTTCTGCTGCTCCTCTGGCACTCTTTGGATGATAATTCACGCGGGAATTACTTTTGCTTTCCTGTGCCTAGTATTAACTGTTATGTATCATGAGGAAGTTGATCTACTCCAACTTATTCGAAGTGAACTACTGCGCAGAAAATCACGATGATATCTGTGACACTAATAATATAAATGATTATTTTTTTATTTTAGAGGAATCACTCTTTCTCTAGTCTTTCGAGGAGTCTTTCATCCTCATATAGCTTTATTCATCTCTTTTAATTATTTTGTATAACGGAAGAAAAAAGAAAAGGGGGAGAAAAGATGAATACTATTTGTTTGCAATGTATTTGCCTTTTTATTTGTTGTTGTCTGAGTTGATTTTGTATTTGTCGTCGATCGATTATAAGTGGGCTGAAATGTCCGTTTTCTGTTGATATGTTAGCTCCTACCTAGTACGGGCACTTCGACGTTGTCTGAATGGATTAGCAATGATGTTATTTAGTGGATAGTGACTATCAGTAAAATACGGGATGTGTATTTCGTCCCATTTCGGGACTCGTTAACTGCATGTTGTCTTAAAACAAGCAACTGTCTGCCTGTTTTCGATATAGAACTTTGCACCGATGTGCGGCAGTTCAAATCGCCACACTCCCTCCTTGTAGCACACAAAGCAAGACAAGAAAGTAGAAGAAATTCATATTAGAGACAGTAAACAGAGGTGTGAGACAAAGGAATAGTTGTAACGAAGAACAAAACAGTTTCATTGGAGATCATAAGTCACAAGGAGTGGATGCATCTGCGCCACTGAGAACGATTTTGAGCCATGTCACCAATTGTTTCCAACCATAGATTTTTACCGTCCCGAGGACTCCAGCATGGAAGTCTACACCTTCCTACGTGGCTTAGACCAACTGTTGTGGATTTCATTGACTGGTGCCAAGTTTTTGTTTGACCGCCGCTAGCTTTTTTCCAGCCCGACCCTATATCAGTCGAGGAAGGCGATGACTAGGCATACGTAACACATGTTCTGACCATCTCAGTCGATGTAATTTCACAGCCTCGTCGATTGATTCCCCCTCCCACCTACCTAGCACTCGACCGATGCCTAACATGATTATTGCTCACCTTATTATACCACTTCGCACGGGAGATAGAACACAGGCTCCTATGATCGAAGACAGCTAATCTTTTCATGTCTTCCACTCTCAATGGCCAGGTCTCACAGCCATAAGTTGAATAACCTAGACAGAAAGTACGTAACAAAGGTTAATAAAGCAGGATTTAGTGAATTCATTAGATTTTGCTAGACCTCGTCATCTGAATACTCCACTTACGGGGATATATATATATATATATATATATATGTACCATTGAAATTACATTGGGAGATATAAGACTGATGAGGAAATAAACTACATTGATTTAATCATGCAGACAAGGGAACAGGAAGATGCAATTGCAGAGGCTTGTGTAATTCGAGTTCATAAATCAGGTCTCTGCGTACAAAAGGAGATGGTCGTCACTCTGAACCTACCACCATGTTAATATATTTTACTTATTAACTGTTATTATTAATATTAATATCACTTTATTCTACCTCTCATTATTATTATTATTCTTGATTCATTTAAGACTATCTTTTATCAGTAGCATTATCTTAACCCACTTCAGCATAATTACTATTATTGTCGTTATTATTATTATGACTATTACTACTGATATTACTCTGTTTGCAATTCTCTGATGACGAATTGTTTGTCTAAGTGCATAATTGAAGCGTAATTCATTTCATCTTAATTTTAATCTCTCATACTCCCTATCCCCTTATCTATTTGAATATGACCTGGAAAAACATTCTCACCTGTCTTTCTGCATGGCTAATTCATTGTAGTTTGTTTACTTATCAGCCTTATATCTCCCAATGTAATTTCAATAATATATACATCTTTCCCCGTATGTAGAGCATTCAGCTGACGAGTCCTACTGAAATTTGATGAATTCATTAAATCCTGCTTTATTAACCTTTGTTGCTTGTTTTAAATTCGTATCGGGAAAGAAATGTTTTCAATTCTTGAAGAAGCGCCTCCCGGAAAGCACTATCAGTGCACTAAATGATCTAGCGAAATTAAGGTGTAGGATTGCTAAACACTCTGCATGACGAGACTGTTTGAAAGAATGTATTGAGACTAATATTTATATCCTCAGACATTTTACAAATCCTTGCGTAACGACCATTTGAAACGTCATTGCCGAATCTTTACCGTCTTACTGAATCACATTTGTGCTCTGAAACAGATGAATGCGGTCTGCTGAAAAAAACACTTTGGCGTGTGAAACAATGAATTCTAAGTTTGAGTTAGCAATGTGCCCACCATTCTAGGTGGTGGCTCACCATTATGGTGCATTCTGAACTGTTGTTATAAGGTGGCTGGAAGTTGGTTGGAGAGGCAGACAGGAAGCCTTGCTCCACCTAGATTTCGTGCTAGTTGACACTCATCACTCAGCAAGGTGTGTCTGCAACCTTGAAGGAACTCACGTCCCTTGCGAAACCTAGGTTAAAGGTTTACTGCAGAATGTCTCCAACCATCTAATAAGTATATTCACTCAGATAAGATAGTTAAAGCCATTATTATGTATGCTCGAGGTATGCTTGTGTATATTTCTTCACACTTCAGCCTCAAATATGAGTCATATTACAAAAAAAATGTAATTATCTTCTGTACTTTTACCAACACAGGGTTCAGCGAAGAGGTTCTTTCAAACGAATTTATTATTGAGCTGAACATTCGTATGTATATGGATTTTCAGAAACTATATCACGGGAAGAAATTGTAAACAATACGTGGGAATACTTACTATGTATTGAGTAGTATAGCGTAGTTTCTACAGTTTCTCAGAAATGGTTTATCAAGGTATGAAGGGATCACGTAATAATCAGTGACACAATAGAAGTAAAGATTTGAAATTGGATAAGGTATGAATCGTTATTGGATGAGAATCAAGGTGGTTGAGTATCCGCTTGATGAGTGTGAAAAAAGTGAGAGAGAAAAAACCGATGAAATACACAAGAAGGAGCAAGTTAGAGTGATAATAGCAAACTACTTAATAAAAATTGGAGTTTAAGACTTTGCTTGATAGAATAAAAGATTGGTTAAATCTTTATCTGGTTCATTCCCTGTTTTGCGATTTCTGTCTTCTCTCTTAGTCTCCACGTGTCCGTAGAGAACCATTCTTTGTCTTACCGCTTCTGTCTTCCTTCGACATCAGTTTCAGAGAGTTACTGTGTTCCTCAGCACTGGTCCCCTCCCTTATGCTCCAACTTTGTCTCTGATAGCTGAAATGAGTGTGATTTGTAGATTTGTCCTTCAGTTTATAAGTGTTGAATTTGAATTGTGCTCTATGTCCAGCTTCTTTTAGAGCTTTCAAATTGACTCTGAAGATTCTTTGTTCTAGATAATAGTATGAGCCCACATCTGCTCTCCTTCTCGACTTTGTATCCAGCAGACTGCCTGCTTCTCCACCTTCTCGAGAATGGAATGAAGTCTATCTTATTTTCGGTATGTTCGTATTGTGAAACCCGTGTCATCTTGTGTATATCCTTGTACTTGTACACACCAACCCCATTAAATCACTGAAGACGCATAATTCTGTAGAGACTTCGTGGTTGTCGTTTAGTTTGCTCAGTCTGTCGACATATGATGAGCTCTCTTCCTATGATATAGGTTCAGACTTTTACTTGCATTCGTATTATCTATTAGAATTTTGAGGGAGTTTGGGGTTATATTTATGAATCGCTAGCGCCGCCCAACACAATTATCGAAATATAACACCCTTCTCAGCATCTTGGTTTATCGTAACCAGTAGAGCTCGAGATGGAACATTATTTCACCACTGCGAATTATCCTTTAAAGTCAGAGTGGACAGGTGATGGGGAATTTCGGACAATCATAGAGGCGTTTAGAAGTGATGACAGAGAATTGACTGGGATAGAGATGAACTGTATTCTACTCGGAACTCTCAAGACGAATAACAGTAATCACACACTCCTTGTTAATAATTATCATCAGAAGCACTGGAATATTGATGCGATGCACATCTTGAATACATCTTTAAGTGTTAGTTAGTAGAGTATATTATTAATAATATTCCCTTGAGTTCCGAGTGGAACATTGGGCCACAACAACACGTCCCCAATTTGTCCTGTTCTGTTCAGTCCTTTTCAGCTGGCTCCACGATTGCTCATAAGCTTTCATCTCCTCGTCACACGATCTCTTCTATATCACCTTCGGAGCCACACCTAACTCGTTGTTTTCCATTCGAGGACCTTGGGGTCCTATGTCCTTTGACGATCTTCTCAGCGTGTGTCCGATCCGTTTCTATTTTCTTTGGTATATTTGTTGAGCAATCAGTTCTTGATTGGTCCGTTACCAGAATTTCTTGTTAATAGAGTATTAAGCACTATATTCATTATTATTATTGTTTCCTTTAGTTCCTAAAGCAACATAGGGCTTCAGCTGCACGTCTCCATTGCGTTCGGTTCGCCGCCAATGTTTTCACCTGGCTCCATGTCCACCCATATGCTTCCATCTTCTCTGCACATGAACCAGTGCAGAGATGGACAACGAAACGATAAACTGAATGCAGTCTGCTGTGCACGGTGTAAAGAAGTGAGGAAGAGTTGCAGAAAAAACAATTCTGTGACACACTAACAGTTGAAGTAGAACAGACTTCCGATAAGTAGGACCTCAAAGAGCTATATTAGATAACCAGATCACTCGCTTTCTGGGAAGAGGTCAATGCAGTTGAAGGGAACTTGATCAGCAGAGACGAGAAGCAAAGGAAACAATGTGCTGTTGAAGCCCTATGTTCTACTCAGAGCCCAAGAGAATAATAAGTTATAATAATCATAATAATGTTTGCTATGAACACTGTTCCATTACTTTTCAAAAATTAAGGAATACAATGTATGATCCATGTATGATTATACATGAAATAATGCAGGTGTTTTGTAGCTTAGAAAAGTGATTTTGGAGTTTTAGTGTTCACAAAGCTGGATCGTTGAACTGCAAAGCTTTCATTTGCCTTCCGAACAACATCATTAGCGCTAAGTAACTTCACACTGTAGATGTTGTCCAGAACGATAATAAGACCTTCGTTATTAAGTCA